ATGTATATAATGATTTACATACATATGATGTGATGAGATATGATTGAATAAAAATTTCTTCAATCAAATAAAAAAAAAATTTACACTTTTTTTTGACACTTCACCGTATGTAAACAATTATATAACTTCATTATGTACAAGTAGGGGTTAATCCCCTGATTAGTCATTGAACTTTGCAAAAGCTTTCAAGGGAATACTGAACTTATAAAATTTTTCCGTTAGTTACTGAACTTTACAAAATGTAATCTCATCCATCATTTAATGACTCTTGAGAACTTTACACAAAGTTCAGTGATCAATCAATGAATTAACGCCCAATTACTAACGAGGGAACTTTTGAAGTTTAGTGACTAATAGGGAAACTTTATAAGTTCAGTTACCCACTGAGAACTTTATGCAAAGTTCATTGACCGATTAGGTAATTCATCCCCATTTTTATTAAATTTTACTTTGTTTAGTCTATTTTTTTTTCTTGTATTTCTATCCCACAATTTTAATCTCTCTATCATCGTCAAACTTAAAAAAAGAACAGTCTTTTTATCTTAGGGTAATTGACAATGTTGTCTACTGACTAACATCTCTAAGATTAAAGAGACAATAGGGGCCCATGCAATCAACTCTTTAATCTTAGAAAGGTCAAAGACAATTTTGTTGGTAATTCCGGGATAAAATATTATTTTTTTCCAAGTTTTGCGACGTTAGAGAGAATAAGATTGTAGGGTATGAGTCCAAAAAAAAAATAATAATAAAAAAAAGAACTAAAAACAGAAAAATTGAGGTTAATTTCGTGATTGATCACTGAACTTTGCGTAAAGTTTTCAGGAAGTCATTGAACTTCAAAAGTTATCTCTTAGTCGCTGAACTTCAAAAGTTCCCCATTAGTCACTAAACGTTAATTCCCTAATTGGTCACTAAACTTCGGGTGAAGTTCCCAAAATCACTGAATTTCAAAAGTTTCATCGTTACTCACGGAACTTTATAAAATGTAATCTCATCCATCACTCAATAATCGATGAGATTACATTTTTTAAAGTTTAGTGAATAACGATGAAACTTTATAGGTTCCGTGACCCTTTGGGAACTTTACATAAAGCTCAGTGACCAATTAGAGAGAAAAAAAAAATTAAGGGTCAATTTTTATTCCACAAGAAAGTATCCCCCTATTGCTTTTGGCAGGAAGGTGGACTTGATGTGCGTTTGAGTTCATAGACAGGCCCAGTTCCGGACCCAATTGTA